CTTGATACGCCTCTGGACTATTTTAAAAATTGTATGCTTTGAAATATATATTTTTGAAAACAAAAATATCAAATTAGACTCTAAATATCATTTGGAACAATATTTTCTTATAAAAATTTTTCATATTTTCTATAAAAATGCCACTTTTCCTTGTTTGAAATTTCCAAATGGCATTTGACAGGTGTGAGGCAAGTCTCGAGTCAAAAATTTTAGGTGTTTTTTTGGTTTTCAGTCATGCAGAACCTAATGCCAAAAACCGATTTGAAGTAAGGATGAGCATAAAAAAAATTCCCATATGGTGCAGACTTTTCCGCGGACACTGTACTTGTCATAACGACACCTAATATTTGTGTAATAACTTCAATGTTGTTTCATATCATCATAACATCTTTATGTCATGAATATCAATGACGAAAAATCAAGAAAGAAATCGTTGAACAAATCACACAACATTGAAAAATGGATACATAAACCTTATTTCTAGACGCAAATACTTATCATAGCCTCTGCACAACAACTCCACTCTCACCTTCCCGGTGGTAGATCCCGTTAAACCGATTGATTTTGGTGAACAAAGAGAGCAAGGGGGCCTTATAAGAAAATATAGACGAAACTACATTTAGGTACAATCGAACCACTATAAAAATTTCAAATCGAAAATCCGGTCCTGGACCGAGATAGTACCTAGCTCCTTGGACATTAAATATTTTTTTACCGCCAAAGTTTCGTTTGTCCCTCAATGTCGAGGGGTGGGTTGAGTAGTACTATTAACCCTCTATCTACCATAAAAATTTCAAATCGAAAATCCGGTCCTGGACCGAGATAGTACCTAGCTCCTTGGACATTAAATAATTTTTTACCGCCAAAGTTTCGTTTGTCCCTCAATGTCGAGGGGTGGGTTGAGTAGTACTATTAACCCTCTATCTACCATAAAAATTTCAAATCGAAAATCCGGTCCTGGACTGAGATGGTACCTAGCTCCTTGGACATTAAATAATTTTTTACCGCCAAAGTTTCGTTTGTCCCTCAATGTCGAGGGGTGGGTTGAGTAGTACTAGTAACCCTCTATCTACCATAAAAATTTCAAATCGAAAATCCGGTCCTGGACTGAGATAGTACCTAGCTCCTTGGACATTAAATAATTTTTTACCGCCAAAGTTTCGTTTGTCCCTCAATGTCGAGGGGTGGGTTGAGTAGTACTATTAACCCTCTATCTACCATAAAAATTTCAAATCGAAAATCCGGTCCTGGACCGAGATAGTACCTAGCTCCTTGGACATTAAATAATTTTTTACCGCCAAAGTTTCGTTTGTCCCTCAATGTCGAGGGGTGGGTTGAGTAGTACTATTAACCCTCTATCTACCATAAAAATTTCAAATCGAAAATCCGGTCCTGGACTGAGATAGTACCTAGCTCCTTGGACATTAAATAATTTTTTTACCGCCAAAGTTTCGTTTGTCCCTCAATGTCGAGGGGTGGGTTGAGTAGTACTAGTAACCCTCTATCTACCATAAAAATTTCAAATCGAAAATCCGGTCCTGGACTGAGATAGTACCTAGCTCCTTGGACATTAAATAATTTTTTACCGCCAAAGTTTCGTTTGTCCCTCAATGTCGAGGGGTGGGTTGAGTAGTATTATTAACCCTCTATCACCATAAAAATTTCAAATCGAAAATCCGGTCCTGGACCGAGATAGTACCTAGCTCCTTGGACATTAAATAATTTTTTACCGCCAAAGTTTCGTTTGTCCCTCAATGTCGAGGGGTGGGTTGAGTAGTACTAGTAACCCTCTATCTACCATAAAAATTTCAAATCGAAAATCCGGTCCTGGACTGAGATAGTACCTAGCTCCTTGGACATTAAATAATTTTTTACCGCCAAAGTTTCGTTTGTCCCTCAATGTCGAGGGGTGGGTTGAGTAGTACTATTAACCCTCTATCTACCATAAAAATTTCAAATCGAAAATCCGGTCCTGGACCGAGATAGTACCTAGCTCCTTGGACATTAAATAATTTTTTACCGCCAAAGTTTCGTTTGTCCCTCAATGTCGAGGGGTGGGTTGAGTAGTACTATTAACCCTCTATCTACCATAAAAATTTCAAATCAAAAATCCGGTCCTGGACTGAGATAGTACCTAGCTCCTTGGACATTAAATAATTTTTTACCGCCAAAGTTTCGTTTGTCCCTCAATGTCGAGGGGTGGATTGAGTAGTACTATTAACCCTCTATCTACCATAAAAATTTCAAATCAAAAATCCGGTCCTGGACCGAGATAGTACCTAGCTCCTTGGACATTAAATAATTTTTTACCGCCAAAGTTTCGTTTGTCCCTCAATGTCGAGGGGTGGGTTGAGTAGTACTAGTAACCCTCTATCTACCATAAAAATTTCAAATCGAAAATCCGGTCCTGGACTGAGATAGTACCTAGCTCCTTGGACATTAAATAATTTTTTACCGCCAAAGTTTCGTTTGTCCCTCAATGTCGAGGGGTGGGTTGAGTAGTACTATTAACCCTCTATCTACCATAAAAATTTCAAATCGAAAATCCGGTCCTGGACCGAGATAGTACCTAGCTCCTTGGACATTAAATAATTTTTTACCGCCAAAGTTTCGTTTGTCCCTCAATGTCGAGGGGTGGGTTGAGTAGTACTATTAACCCTCTATCTACCATAAAAATTTCAAATCGAAAATCCGGTCCTGGACTGAGATAGTACCTAGCTCCTTGGACATTAAATAATTTTTTACCGCCAAAGTTTCGTTTGTCCCTCAATGTCGAGGGGTGGGTTGAGTAGTACTAGTAACCCTCTATCTACCATAAAAATTTCAAATCGAAAATCCGGTCCTGGACTGAGATAGTACCTAGCTCCTTGGACATTAAATAATTTTTTACCGCCAAAGTTTCGTTTGTCCCTCAATGTCGAGGGGTGGGTTGAGTAGTACTAGTAACCCTCTATCTACCATAAAAATTTCAAATCGAAAATCCGGTCCTGGACTGAGATAGTACCTAGCTCCTTGGACATTAAATAATTTTTTACCGCCAAAGTTTCGTTTGTCCCTCAATGTCGAGGGGTGGGTTGAGTAGTATTATTAACCCTCTATCTACCATAAAAATTTCAAATCGAAAATCCGGTCCTGGACCGAGATAGTACCTAGCTCCTTGGACATTAAATAATTTTTTACCGCCAAAGTTTCGTTTGTCCCTCAATGTCGAGGGGTGGGTTGAGTAGTACTAGTAACCCTCTATCTACCATAAAAATTTCAAATCGAAAATCCGGTCCTGGACTGAGATAGTACCTAGCTCCTTGGACATTAAATATTTTTTTACCGCCAAAGTTTCGTTTGTCCCTCAATGTCGAGGGGTGGGTTGAGTAGTATTATTAACCCTCTATCTACCATAAAAATTTCAAATCGAAAATCCGGTCCTGGACCGAGATAGTACCTAGCTCCTTGGACATTAAATAATTTTTTACCGCCAAAGTTTCGTTTGTCCCTCAATGTCGAGGGGTGGGTTGAGTAGTACTAGTAACCCTCTATCTACCATAAAAATTTCAAATCGAAAATCCGGTCCTGGACTGAGATAGTACCTAGCTCCTTGGACATTAAATAATTTTTTACCGCCAAAGTTTCGTTTGTCCCTCAATGTCGAGGGGTGGGTTGAGTAGTACTATTAACCCTCTATCTACCATAAAAATTTCAAATCGAAAATCCGGTCCTGGACTGAGATAGTACCTAGCTCCTTGGACATTAAATAATTTTTTACCGCCAAAGTTTCGTTTGTCCCTCAATGTCGAGGGGTGGGTTGAGTAGTACTAGTAACCCTCTATCTACCATAAAAATTTCAAATCGAAAATCCGGTCCTGGACTGAGATAGTACCTAGCTCCTTGGACATTAAATAATTTTTTACCGCCAAAGTTTCGTTTGTCCCTCAATGTCGAGGGGTGGGTTGAGTGTTACTATTAACCCTCTATCTACCATAAAAATTTCAAATCAAAAATCCAGTCCTGGACTGAGATAGTACCTAGCTCCTTGGACATTAAATAATTTTTTACCGCCAAAGTTTCGTTTGTCCCTCAATGTCGAGGGGTGGGTTGAGTAGTACTAGTAACCCTCTATCTACCATAAAAATTTCAAATCGAAAATCCGGTCCTGGACTGAGATAGTACCTAGCTCCTTGGACATTAAATAATTTTTTACCGCCAAAGTTTCGTTTGTCCCTCAATGTCGAGGGGTGGGTTGAGTGTTACTATTAACCCTCTATCTACCATAAAAATTTCAAATCAAAAATCCGGTCCTGGACTGAGATAGTACCTAGCTCCTTGGACATTAAATAATTTTTTACCGCCAAAGTTTCGTTTGTCCCTCAATGTCGAGGGGTGGGTTGAGTAGTACTATTAACCCTCTATCTACCATAAAAATTTCAAATCAAAAATCCGGTCCTGGACTGAGATAGTACCTAGCTCCTTGGACATTAAATAATTTTTTACCGCCAAAGTTTCGTTTGTCCCTCAATGTCGAGGGGTGGGTTGAGTAGTACTATTAACCCTCTATCTACCATAAAAAATTCAAATCGAAAATCCGGTCCTGGACCGAAATAGTACATTTCTACATTACGCACAACCCTGCCTTTCTTGATTTAAATGGTGATTCTAACCTAATTCAATATTATTTTGATTGTGTCATTTGCTTTTGTTTGAAAACGAAATTTAGTTATATTCTGTTTTAAATTATTTGAAAAATATATTCAGTTTTATTTTTAAAAAGCAATAAAAGTTGCGGTTCGCAAGGAGCTGGCTTCACACTTTCGACTACGTTCGCGGATTCATATTTGAGGCAAGGAGCTGGCTCCAAGGAGCTAGCGTCACACACATGAAACTACCTGCTAGGTAACAACCAGACACTTACCAGTTGGTCCATAATTTGGCCCTAAAGGAATTCGGCTTTAGGTAAGACTTGCCTCCAAGTTAAATTGTTTATTAATCTATATTTTCTTTACCCGCAGGCACAATGTCTGATGAATTTACAGAATCCGCATTCGCTGACAAATTGTTACGCTTGGATAACTCCTCGAAAAGCATCCAGAGTTTATCCGAATGGGTAATCACCCATCAGGAACACTACACCAGTGTTGTTAAAGTATGGGTGAGGGAAATTATCAAAGGTAAGATCCATTTGTGTATTATAATCCACCATTTATAAGAATAACTCACAATCTCATTTGTATTGTGATTGTTAAATTTTTATTTTTGCTTTTGTTTATATACCCACAGCAAGCGTTTTGAAAGAGATAAGCTTTTATTATTAGTTATATTGTAATTTAGATTTAGCCAATCTGCGGCGTGTATTATTTCTATTCTTTTCTAGTTTTAGATTAAGTTATAGTACTTATTATCTCATATGTTACTGTAACCAACTGGGTCCAGCCCGTCTGTACAAATAAATAAATAAATAAATAAAACACCACAAGTGTAATTATAGCTATTTATATAACAAGTACATAAAGTAAGGCTTTATTGTACGAATAATTTTATGGCTGAGCGAGCTTGCGAGCGAGGCTATTAAATAATGAGTCAATAAAGCCTGTTTATGTAAGCGTTATATACATGATTTTATGTACGATTACGACTGGTTTTTGTTAAAAATTAAAAAAATCTAATGAAAAAAGTAAAATTCGCGTAGGTATACCGGTTTCACCTTGCCAGGTTGTCAGGACCTGTTTCATCTATGCAGGTTGTCAGGACCTGTTTAACCTTGTCAGGTAGTCCAGGTAGGCAATAAAGTAGCACTTTATTTTACTAATAAAGTAGCACTTTATTTTACTAGTACAATAAAGTGCTACTTTATTGACGCAAAACTGTTCTATAAATAGCACTTTATTGGTCAATCGGACATAAAAAACTTTATGTCCGATTGACCAATAATGTGCTATTTATAGATCAGTTTTGCGTCAATAAAGTATCACTTTATTTTACTAGTAAAATAAAGTGCTAGTTTATTTTACTAGTAAAATAAAGTGCCTACCTGGACTACCTGACAACCTGCCAAGGTGAAACAGGTCCTGAGAACCTGCCAAGGTGAAACAGGTATACCTAAACATTGTTTCACGAGGATTCATACTTTTTGCCTTCCTTTTTTAACAAATAGAAATTGACTGAAACAAATCAATGATGTCAAAAACGTTTGCCGGTTCTTAAACCAGAAGTCATTCATTTCAATTTGTCAAAAAAATTGAATGTGTCATATGAATTAATTCTACGACAACCCTTTTTTTTTCAAGTTATGACGTGTTCGATATCAAAAGTATGAACCGATGAAACGTTTGTACGCAAATTTTAATTTTTTTATTAAATTTTTTCAATTTTTAACAAAAACCAGTTGCAATCGTACATAAAATCATGTATATGTCGCAGGCTTAATGTAAAATCAGTCCTATTATAATACGCCTAGGCTTTTTCAATACAACTAGGCTTATTGTAATACTATCCAAATAAACTAAGCGGCAGATGAAGTGGGACACCCGAAAAATTGCCTAATTTTGACTTGCTATAAATTCGACATTTCTTTGCCGATCTTGGATTATTAGGCAGGGTTACAAAGCGCCATCTTTGGTCTATGCATCAGTGTCGTCGCACATTTTTTTAAAAAATTCCTTCTCGTTATACAGGGTGTGAATGTAACGCGGCGAAAAATTTCCATTTTTTGGGGAAAAATATGGGAAAGATGGAGGGTCCAATAAAGTTCTTTCTAGTGGTGACTCGATCACTAGGTCAACACCTCGAGACGTCTTTGCCATTTTTTCGATACATCGCGTTGCTATGGAAGTATGGCCATTTTATGGTATTCCGTTTTTTTCTTGAAATTAGCGATTCCTTAATTGAACAATAACAGATTCCGTTTAAATTTCATCATGAAATGGCTTGTATAGAAAATAGTCAACACCAGTGGCGTGCAAAAGGGGGTTTATGAAATTAAAATAAAAAAAATCGATGTTATCTGAAATTTTTAAGTTTTGTTAAGCTTTAAAATTTAACGCCCAAATGCACCATAAGGATTAAGGACAATGGGCTCTTTCACTAATTTTTGAAATTGGCATATTTGGATAAAGCAACTAAAAACAGAATTTTCTGTATTTTTACTTTTGAAAAATTCATAGTACTTCTTGAGAAAACAGAAAAAAAAGAAATACCTCCAAATAAAAACCCAGAATTTATTTCTATGACGTCGCAGCTCGCAATTTGACCGTGTTGCCACTAATTGTCAACATTGAAAATTTGTAATAGATTTAATTCTGAAATGTTCGCAAAATATCATGAAAAGTAGTTAAATTAATTAGTTATGGATTCAAGATTTTATAACATTTTTATTGAAATTATGCTTAAACACAATTTATTATAATTTTTTATGTTTTAGTTTTATTTATTTATTTTACGTTGCACTACATTTAGTCACCACCGACAACAGCGCATTCGAACCTTTACCTGCATTTACTACAGGGTAAATACAGCCGTGGCGGTCAGCTCTTTGCGACAACAAGCGAAATGAAAAATATTTATGCGACGTCAGCAAATCGGCGCGTTTTTCATTAATTTAAATTTTGGTAGTTTAAAATGCCTGTAAAAAACTTATTTAACCTTGTAGAACTTTTTTTTTTGGTATATATGCCTGAAATAGTCCCTCCTTTGGGATTTTATACTTAAATTACGTATTTAAATTTTAGTGAAAGAGCCCATTCAGATTAGTTGCTGAAACCAGGTTAGGACTTCTCTTTTATATGCAAATTTTCGAACTAAGCGAGAATAAACTCCCAAGTCCATACGGTGCATATGGGTGTAAAAGGTGTTATAAATAACTCTGATATGATGTCATTTTTGTTCTCCTCTAGCTAGAATAACTGCGTGACACCGCCTTGGCACGCTCGAAATTATTCGGTTAATTAGCTCTATAGTAACTGACTCCCAGAGCTCTAGAATCGTCTCCTCGAGATCGTCTAGAGCTTCTGGCTGACGTTCTCCCCGGGAAAGCTCTAACTTCATTCAGCTCCAGACGTGCTCAATTGGATTCATGTCTGAGGATCTAGGAGGCAATTCGGTACGATTGAACTTTTGCCCTTGCAGATACCGGTTCACCAATAATGCTCGATGAGGTTGAGCATTATCGTCTACAAGAACAAAATCCCCGCCATAATTTCGAGCATGCCGGAGAACTTGCGGAATCTGACATTTATCCAGAGACCCTTGGCCGTTAACATTGCCCCGAAATACCACGATACGACAAATTCTGTTCTTCCGATGTGTTAGATACCGACCCAAACTGTCAAGCCTCCACCGCCAAATGCTACTTGGGGACGCATGTTTTCTTCTAAAAAAAATCCTCCCCATCTCCGCCAGGTTAGCAATCGACCGTCAGAATTATAGAAGTTAAAACGGCATACATCAACGAAAAGAGACCTCCACCTAAAATCCCAATTCAGGTGTTCCTGGGCCCATTTTTTTCAGTTCCCCGGTGACTGTTTCTTAAAAGTGGGCACTTTGCCCGACGGGATAATTTAATTTAATCCCTGGTCATGTAGACGTCTTCTAATGGTGTCTGCTGAAACATTCAACTGCAGATGCGTTATTAATCCAAAAACTTTTCTCATAAATTTTTTTGTTGCATAAAATCGACAACTTCGTGACAGCTTGACAGACAAACGCCCCACTACCATAATGCGCCAAGCTCAAAATTTGTCCGACTCCACCCAAATAACAAATACAAAAAGTTTCGACGGTGTGGTCATAAATAAAAAATTTAGATCTGGGCCCAAGGACTATAAAGCAGATATGTACAACTACAGACCTATATGTAACCTCAGTTGTATTCTCAAACTCTTCGAAAAAATCTTCATTGAGCTTGATCTTCATTGAATTTGATCACCTTTGTTGACTTCCTGTCGAACGTCTTGGATGACGGTGGGGAAGTTCATGCTGTCTACACTGACTTTTCCAAGGCGTTTGACATGGTAAATCATGGGATCCTGCTTGTTAAATTTAGGGCACCTATTCTTCATGGAACCTTGTTGGAGTGGGTAGCGAGCTACCTCTCAGATCAAGTTTCCAAATTAAGTAATTTCGTGTCCAAAAATTTTCTTAATCCCTCAGGGCTGGAACTCTGTAACGGATAAGGATCGTTATCCCTATCGCTATGGCACTTGCGGTCTTCTTCTTTCTTGTCGAAATCAATAGAGAGGAGACGTCAATAGAGATAGAGAAAATATCTCTATTCGTTACAGAGTTCCAGCCCTGGAGTCCCACAAGGGTCCCTTATTGTTCGCAATATTTAGTAATGATATTGCCCAGTGCTTCAAATTTTCTAAATTTCTATGTTTCGAGGATGATCTGGAATGTTATTCTGTCGTGATTTCCTGGGAGGACTCCCTTAAGCTCCAATCAGATTTGGATAGGCTTGTTGAATGGTGAGACCTCGACGCGATGGATTTAAACATTGCGAAGTGTATCTCCATTTGTTTTACCGAAAAACGCAACAAGATTGTGTTCAATTATAACATAGGTCCATTTATGTCTCAGATTTCATTCATTCGCGACCTTGAAGTTATACACACACATCAAAATGGTCCAGGGAACAAGATAATACCAATACCTATACTTAGAAATTTTTTGCTGATTTTATTTATGAAATATTTAAACTAAACAAGCTCGCAAAAAAAAGCTGATATGGTAAATTTGATAGTTCATAAATTTAGTAGATTATTCCACTCATGTGTTAGAAATCCCATAAGATAAGTGATAATTTTCAGAATTACAGCGAAAATTCTCTCTTCCATTTGTTTAACTAGAGAGAATTACAGCGATAATTCTCCCATGCTATTGTATATATGGTTGTCATGCTAATTTTTGATAAAAACAAACGGTTCCTGATAGCAACCATTTATTTGTATTGATTGTTAAGATGTTCAAATCGTTTAATACATATTTATTTCCATATTTTTTGCATTCTCATACGTGAAATAATCGGGGATAATACCACGAGAGCTTCAAAATTACCGATAATTTTTCACGATTGCGTGTTTTCTATAATTTCACGAGTCCGTAGGACGAGTGAAGTTTGCAGAGAAAACATGCATGAGTGAAAAATTATCTGGTTCATTTTAAAGCTCAAGTGGTATTTAGAGGATTATTTCACTTATGAGAATGCAAAAAATAAGGAAATAAATATGTATTAAACGATTTGAACATCTTAACAATCAATATAAATAAATGGTTGCTGTCAGGAACCGTTTGTTTGTATCAAAAATTAGCATGACAACCATGTATACAATAACATGGGAGAATTATCGCTGTAATTCTCTCTAGTTAAACAAATGGAAAAGAGAATTTTCGCTGTAATTGTGAAAATTGTCACTTGTCTTATGGGATTTCTAACACATGAGTGGAATACCACTTGAGCTTTAAAATGAACCAGATAACTTTTCACTTATGCGTGTTTTCTCTGCAAATTTATAATTATAGAAAACACGCAATCGTGAAAAATTATCGGTAATTTTGAAGCTCTCGTGGTATTATCCCCGATAATACCCACCTTATCTTTAAAAAAAAGTTGTTTTTGTCTTGAATAAAAGATAGATATTTCTTGTTCTCAAGACTATTTTGATGAGTGTATAAAGTCCCAACTTTTCTCTGTTGGTTGTGAATTCTCCGGTTTCGTCCATAAGTTCGAACATTTGCTTTTTGCCACTTGTGAATTTCCTTTATTTGTCACTCATTTGTAAAACGTCATTTATCAAGTCAAAACATAAACAACGAAAATTGATTTTTCCTACGAGCGTGCGCAAAGTAGTACTTTTCCGCATGCATTTCCGGGCTCAAAGTTACACTTTTCCGCACTCAGTGCGGATACAGGCCTTATCCGCACTGAGTGCCGAAAAGTAATTATAATTGTCAAGCAACAATAAGTGCACCTGTCGACTTTGACACATGATGACAAATTTTTCCTCTATTTCTATATCAGCCAACATCTATACAAACACCAATTATAAATTAACTTTGACACATCAGATTTGTTCTCTATTTATATGCAAAAATCTACAAACTTTCTCATCAAATTTAAACGCTTTAAGATGAACAGCTCTGACGAGGATTTTCTGTTATTTTTTTTTGTTATGTAATTTTTTGATAAATGCATAGGTTCCCTTCAAGTTAATTAAAAATAATTAAACAAATTATCGGTTTTTTTTTCAAATTTTTGTTATTACCTACCTGATATGAAGCTCGTAGGAAAAATTTTGTTCCTAACACGTGCGCAAAGTGTCTTTTCCGCACGCAAACACGTATCCGAACTCCGCTCCGCGTCGTTCGTATAACTGTGTTTGCGTGCGGAAAAGTAACACTTTGCGCACTTGTTAGGAAAATAACTATTTCCTACGAGCGTGCGCAAAGTAGTACTTTTCCGCACGCATTTCCGGGCTCAAAGTTACACTTTTCCGCACTCAGTGCGGATACAGGCCTTATCCGCACTGAGTGCCGAAAAGTAATTATAATTGTCAAGCAACAATAAGTGCACCTGTCGACTTTGACACATGATGACAAATTTTTCCTCTATTTCTATATCAGCCAACATCTATACAAACACCAATTATAAATTAACTTTGACACATCAGATTTGTTCTCTATTTATATGCAAAAATCTACAAACTTTCTCATCAAATTTAAACGCTTTAAGATGAACAGCTCTGACGAGGATTTTCTGTTATTTTTTTTTGTTATGTAATTTTTTGATAAATGCATAGGTTCCCTTCAAGTTAATTAAAAATAATTAAACAAATTATCGGTTTTTTTTTTCAAATTTTTGTTATTACCTACCTGATATGAAGCTCGTAGGAAAAATTTTGTTCCTAACACGTGCGCAAAGTGTCTTTTCCGCACGCAAACACGTATCCGAACTCCGCTTCGCGTCGTTCGTATAACTGTGTTTGCGTGCGGAAAAGTAACACTTTGCGCACTTGTTAGGAAAATAACTATTTTCTACAGCCGTGCGGAAAAATCGATTTTCCGCACTGATATGCGTGCGGAAAATGAGTTTTCCCGCACGGTGCGGCAAAACTTTTTTTTTGACATATCAGTGCGGAAAAAGTGCTGTCAGTGCGGAAAAAATTTTACCGCACTGATATGTCAAAAAAAAAATAAAAATTTTACATTTTTTCGCCTGTAGGAAAAATATTGTACCTAACACTTGCGGAAAATATTTTTCCGCACTCGGCTGCATCACAGAACTCCGCTACGCGTCGTTCGGTGAACGGCAGCCGCGTGCGGAAAAATTCATTTTCCGCACTTGTTAGGTAAATAACTATTTACCAGTTACTGGCTCTACTGACTTGTAAAATTGACAGCTAAACTGTAATAGTTATTTACCTAACAAATGCGGAAAGTGATACTTTACCGCACGCAACGGCAGTTAAGCCGTTAAGGGCGGTAAAGGCACTTTCCGCATGTGTTAGGTACAAAATTTTACCTATGAGCATCTACATCTCCAAAAAAAGGCATTGATAAAATTGATTAATGAATCAGATTAATTAATGGAATAAGATTAAATTTAGAAATGATCAAAAATCCATTATCTGAAAAAGATAGGAATTTTGATTATAAATATCAAATTCTACTTTACTGCACACTATGCGATAAAGTGCACTTTACCGCACCCTTTGTAGTCCACTTTACCGCATACTATGCTGTAAAGTTAACTTTACCGCACACTATGCTGTAAAGTTAACTTTACCGCATAGTGTGCGGTAAAGTGATACTTTCCATTTTTAAATACGTGCGGTAAAGTGCACTTTACCGCATGCTCGTAGGTAAAAACTTTTTACAAGTCAGTAGGGTCAGAGAATTATTTATTAAAATTGTATTACCTATATGTATTAATTTTTTATTTATTATTTAAGATTGTTTACAAATGAGTAACCAATAAATTATTGTACATCATACGCCAGGTATCAGTTTTTACTGGCTCTTGAAGATGACAAGCTCGCCTGACGGCTCGCTAGTCATTTCCTTCAATCACCAGTAAAAACTGTTTTACCTGGCTAATAATGTAAAATACTATTTCATCACTTTCACTCTTCTATTTTTTTCAATGTTCTGTATGATTGGGTCTTTTTCAAACTACCTTAGATCTTTTCTGATGATGATGATTGTGTTGATGATTTGTTGATCGGTGTCTTTGTCGCTTTTTGGTGATCTTCTTTGTTCCATTTTGCGTCTTGTTTCTAAACTACAGTGTCAATTTAAAAGTACCTACTTGAACATATAAAAATACTCTTCAACTACAAACTTGGGATCAAATATGCTGCTAATGAGAATCAGAAAAAAGAAAAATTATGACAGATATCACATTCTTACAGGAAAATCATCATTAAGAGTTTTGGGTACCATATAGTTTCTGAAAGCTGGTAAACTTGATCGCTTTGATAGCCGCTGGTAACTGATTATAAATGTTTGCTGCCTTGTAGGAAAAACTGTTTTTTCAAAAGTTCAGTACTATGGAAGGGGATTGTTAAAGACACTGGAGTATGAGTTCCCTTGGTCGTAAATACGAACCATATATGATGGAAAAGTAGTCTTGATTTAGTTTGATGTAAGAAAAAAATATCTACTTAGGGCTGCCACTAGTTTTGCATAATTTAGTTTTTTGTCCATGATAAGACCCAAGTTTCTAACATATTCGCTTCGTACAAACTAAGCTGACCACCTAAGATATCTTTCACATTCCTTTCACCTTTAGACACGTTAACTTTAAGACCGTTCATATTTTTCATTTTTCCAATGTATTAAACTTTGTAAATCTTCGTTGATTCAGCTAATTGCCTTGTCGATGTCTTGTAAGTTACAATCATACATAACAATGAACTTTACAATACTTTATGCTGCGTTTCAAGTACGTGAGAAACAAATTTAACACCAAAGGACTCAAAATTGACCCCTGTGGGACTTCTTTCTGCACAAGCAATTCCTGGGAGAGTACCAGACCAGTTTTGTTCCTTAATTCAACAGTTTGATGTCTGTTAAACAAGTAATTCTTAAACTATTGCAAAAGTTTATCTTATACACCATAACACCATAGTACCATAGTTTTGAGAATAGAAGGTCATTATTGATACTATCAGTCAAATGCTTAGTAGGATAAGAATGGTTATTCGATTCCTGTCCAAAGAGGTCGTTATATCGTCGTTTATCTCCAACAATTTTCTTAAACCTGTTTTTTCATCAAGCAATATACCTACTGTTTTTTTCCACAAATGACGAAAGTTGCTGATGCACTAGTTCTTCAAGTAGGTACCATTCTGAATTGAATTCTTAGTGCCAAGTCAATTTGAAAATGTTCCTCTATACATTCATAATATCTGTTATTTTTTATTTTAGCCCAAGAACATCGTCGAATAACATTGTTGTTCTTCGCCAATGACGTGATCCAAAGCAGTAGGAAGACAGGTCGTAAGTACTGCTATGAATTTGGTCGCGACCTGGAAACCGTTTTTAAACATATGAGCAATTCGGACGAAAAAACTAAAAATGAGGTTGGGAGATTGTTGAGCATTTGGCGTGAAAGGGAAATTTATGGCGAGCTCCAGATAAGCCTGTTTCAAAGAGCGCTTGGTAAGTTAAACTTTCTTTAAAAATATTTAGGAAAAATCAAACAATACCTACCTTATTAGTCATGGGCTTCAAAGATCCACTAACTTTTCTAAAAGCTAGAGCAGCTAGAACTACAAGCCAGTCCAAACTTGAAGAACGAATCCCTGTTGAGGTACTTTTGTTATGGTGTTCTCAATGTGCTCTCCAAATTAAGTAATTGAATTTATATCCTAGGTTGATGAAAGCTTGGAAACTCAAGTCCGTCCCCACAATGTCTCAGAATGTTCAAAAATGATACAGGCTTTAAAAGACTTTGAAGCAAATAAAAAGTCCGATTCTGTCGGATGTGCGACAAAAATCGCAATTTTAAACAGAAAAATTCCTGATGCCGCAACTATTAACGGCATACGAGATAGGGACAAGGCTGAAATTTTGGTGAAGGAAATTCATGATGTTGCCACAAAATTGAGACAGTACGAGACAAGTTCAGATTTTGATACACGGCAGAGGATAAAGTTGGTGAATATAGTTAACGAGTTTTTGCAGGTACAAAAAGATCTGATATCGCAAGGAGAAAATGCCAAACAGGTACGAAATCCAAAAATTTTTGCGCTCAAGTTAACAAGTATTGCTTTCAGCAATATGCAGAAAAATTGTCAGAGGTTACCAGGGTAGAGCAAAAGTTAGAAGCCCATATGCAGAGTTTGCCAAAGATCATCCATACTCCTGATGATGGAATGGAAAGTTTTATGCAATAAAACAATATCTAATCTCACATAAAATTAAGAAATAAGGTCTTTTTTCCATGTTATTTTTCCTAGATATCGTTATGAATTTCCTAATATGTGTTCAAAAATCTTAATATTAATGTACAAATTACTTATTATATTGAAAAGTTTTCTTCAGTTCAAATTAAAGTAATAAATAATTGAATAATTTGCCAGTCTTTTATTCATTTATTTATTTATTGTCTAACTACTGTCAATAATTACCCCAAGATTTCGTAGAAAGATTAGTATTTTCAAGTCTATATGTAAACTTCACTACGTTATGAAGCTTGGAAATAGTCATAGATTGGCATTTATTAATATTTAGCAGAAGTTTATTTGTGACCACACCAAAAAGACAAGCAGTCAATGTCGTTTTGTAATTCTGAGCAGTCTTGTATGGTGTCAATAATTCTAAAAATTTTCAGATCATCGGTTAACAGTACATAGTTGGATGAGATAGTTTCAGTGATATCATTCACAAATATAGCAAATATTACAGGAGCTAGATTGCTTCCTTTAGAAGCGCCACTTGAAGCGCTGAAGTCAGCAGATCGAAAACCGTTGTACTCCACAAATTGTGTTCGCCCATTCAAATATGAGATAAATAGATCCACCAGGTTCTTAAACCCAATGTTGTACATTTTCTGGGCAATGAACCATGATCCAACCTATCTAAGGCCTTCGAGGTCAGTAGAGTATATATGACGTCAAGTTGTTTCCAATTATTGATGGCAAGATAAGCTTTTTGTAGGAAACTTGTCAAAGAGATTAACTGATATATTGACATTTTGTTCATCAACCAAGAAGTTCCAGTCAGTTTCTGATACATAAGTGGATAGTTTGCTCTTTAAAAGTTATAGTTTTTATTTGTGTTGCATGGGAAGTTCCTGGGTAATGAGCCCATTTGTGGATCAATTTCAATTAAGAGGGTGGGGTGAGCTACTTCTTCAGGAACTAGGGGTATAGTTCGTCTGTTTATTTCACATTTAATATTTGTAATGACAAGGTCTATTATGTTACCATAGTGGTTTGGAATATTATTCAGTTGATCGAAGTCAGTTAAAGCTAGGAAATCTTTCAATTTAAGTGATTTTGTGTGAGAGTTAATGTTGAACTCACCAATTATAATAACTTGTATGTATATTGTTAAGATATAAATAAAATATTTCTTAAAATGAAGCTTACAGCCTAAAACATCAATCTCAAATCTTGCGTCTCAAACCATCGATACAACAGCTTGCTAAACTAAATAATCACCACATGCCAACGAGTAGGCCGGAAGCTATGAAAGCTCCCAAAAATATATTCCCTACTCACAAATTTAATAAGCGCCCTTATCACGAGACTCCTCTGAATCTGAAGATGAATCCATAAACTAGGTACCAGAAAAACAATGGGAGAACTGAAAATATTCGAACAAATTATTAAGAATAGATAAAGATAAAATTGAAAATAAACTTAAAGAAATTGTACATACATATCATGATACTTTCTAAAACTAGTACACTTATGTAGAAAGGCCAGTGACTGTCCTCGCAAATGGTTTATATGATATGGCCCAAAGAATTAAGCTCACTCAGCTGATTGGACGATCTCAGAGTACGAGATGTATTGATGAACCTAATGGCGTTTCCGATTGGTAGATCTAGTGCGAAACTATGTACGTTTTTCAATTCGGTCTAAATATCTGAGATTGAGATAATGAATTTATTTAAATTATGGGGACTGAGAGATGGCTGGTGGATTATGTGTAAAGATTGTTTAGTGTACACTGAGCCAAAGTATTCAGCAGCTTGGGGTCCCATAACGGCTGATTTCTCATTCAAGTTAAAACTAGATGGTAGTTTAGTAGAATTTTGTAAAGAGATTGTGTAGAACCACAATTATTTAGGGCTATGTTGCAGGGCTGCTTCAGTGTTTATTATATGGTTCTGTAAGCTCAATAAATTGAGAGAGATTGTTACATTGGGAATATGAGTTGGACAAGTTTTGATAATCAAGAGGAAGCCGGCTTTGCTTGTATTTTTGATAGGCGATTTTTTTCTGTATGGTAAGTGCTTTTCTGTCTTGTGAGAACTATTGGGGAAACTTCCTACTGGGTATTTTTCTGATTGGTACAAATACATATATCAAGAGTTTTATACAATACATCATAGAAAAGGTTTAACATTTATTCGTTGTCAGACTTGTTGAAAAACATGTCCTCCTCATGAGATTGAACTCAAGTAATCGTTGATAACTCTGTTGTCAGTAGATTTGAAGTCGTAGTAAAACCCATTTCCTTGGTGGTTTGCATTGCTGGAATTATGCTGTCAACTGTTTTAAAAGCTCAAAAGGAGGGCGATTTCCATCTAGTGGTAGTAGGAATTCATTCAGACTGATTACCAGACATCCTGGAATGGTCAAGAACGAAATCGAGCGTTACATCATTCAAGTTGGGAATATCATTCAGCTGGGACAGGTTGTGGAATACACAGACCTCAGATATATACAGGTCTGGCAAGTCAGCATATTACAGGCCAATTTTATTGCAATAGAATGGAATTTCTAGAAAAAGTTCAAGGTTAAATAGAAAATGAAAACCTCCTTCCCCTGTTCCACCTCCAACATGGAGCGCTGGGAATGCTGGACTATTTAACCTTAGACTTTTTCTAGACATTTAATTCTATTGCATTAAAAATTGACCTGTAAGATGTTCACTTGCCAGACCAGTATGTGTTGTATTTTGCTGAGTTCAGTAGGAGGCAGATATCCATCCTCAGATCGCTGAGCATTAGAGCATACGTCTTCTATGGTCCTTATTGACTAATGACTTGGACAGCAATCAACTGTAGGGTTATTTCATCAAGATTGTAGCCAAAGATCTCATATTTCTCTAGTGGAGTGATTGGTGGTAAGTAGATACATCTTTAGACCATTTGCTTTTTACCTGTGCCAATTACAACATATACTTGTTCTATATTATATCACTTGTAGATTCTATTGAGCGTGATGGAATGGACTGATTGGACTGATTAACAGCAATCAGGACCTCTCCAAGACTCTCAGCGGTGCTGGTGGTGGCTGAACGATCACAACGGAATACATGTATGCATCAAAACCAAGCTCTCCTGTGTGAAAGTTATTGTTTCAACCAGTCTCTGAAAAAGCTACTTTGTGGTAATTATTTTCTGCTATGCTGCATCGAAGCGTTTTTAACTTGGTACGGAGACCCCGAACATTTTGGTACTAGACATTAAGGCTTAAGCATTTTATTCGGCTCTTGAATTGGAGTTTACTGCTGCTGTCGGTGAGAGATTTTTTTGAATGATTTGTGGTACACCTCTCAGAAATCTAATTTGTAAATTCTGTTCACGACGCTTTCCAGGTCTTCCAATGCAGTTCTTTCAAGATCTCTTTGCTTATAGTCTAGGAAGCAGTGACGATTTTCGGTAGGTACTTATTTTCCCAGTCAGAAAACATGGATAGAATTGTAGGGTTAGTAATTCTAAGCAAAATTCATAAATTTTTAGGGAGGTTTTCCGATGGGTTGAGGCGCAAAAGGCGTCAGAGCTTACGAATGCACGGCTCTTTTTTTTTCCAGAGATAATAGTCCGGCTAATTTGTGAGGATGAATGATACGTCTGGCAAGTGAAAAATTGAAGATCCGAATATTTTCAGCCAGGCTCACTTTCCACTATCCGAGATAAGCCAAATTGCTATTCCATGTACCTACTTTAAATTCTATTATAGTAAATGTCAAATATTTATGACTGAGAAAATAGGTGTACTTGTATTTCTCATTGATCTTGTGAACCAATCCGAGAATTTTAGCCAGACTCAAAAATGCTTGTTTGGTATCATCAAGAGAACAAACTACCTATTTAATCTACCCAACTTGGAAAATAAGTGCTAAAAAATTTCACTGCCTCCAGGATTGAATATTTTTGCTGAGAGTATAGTTAGGGAATATAAAGCACATGACTATTGCCAATTGTTAATATGACATAAAACCTATATAGTTCTATTCCATTTATTAGATGGTCGAATGTTGTGGATTTTTAGATCTATGCTTAGTGCCAAATAATTATGTTCACACTAGTTGAAAAACTTGTCAAGTTCCCTTTGTAAAATTTCACAGTCATGGATATTTTTGTAATAACAAAGAATTTCTTGTCATCAGCGAAATTGATAAATTCACAGTGTTAAACACATTTTTAACATCGTTCAAAAAAAGATTGACAAGGAGAGAAACGAGAGTCATCTGACATCTAATATAATTGAAATTTTGGGAATCTAGGCAGTTTTCAATAAGACTCCTCTCATTATGAATTCTCATGTTCTGTGACATGACTGTAGCTCGTTACTAATAAGGATGTCATCAAAATTGCTTTTAAATGCTAATAAGGAAGGACAGGAAAACGTCTATATTATTATTATTATCATTATTATTATTTAATTTATTAGTAAGCGATGGGACTATTCATTTAATCACAGTTCAATTTTCTTAAATATTATTAATCTTTGTCACAGTCAATTTTCTACCACTGTAGTATCACATATAATATAATGCACGAGATTACTTGACCATTGTTTTATTTTGACATCTAGTCTGTTCTTAAAACGGATTCATTGAGGTCGCATTTACAGTGTCCTCTAGCCCTTTCCAGGTAGGTATACATAATCCTGTTGGTCAGGAAATTTCTTCGCAGAAACTTGTTACATCGTTTTTTTTGTTGTGTCCTGTAAGGTGTTCAACTTGACTAAGGTGACACGTATCACATATCCAGGTTACACACGTAGTGGCCGCTAGTGATTTTGAAGGTTTCAATAAGGTTACCTCTAGCCTTCTCTCTCAGTATAGTCAAGCTCGGCCTAATTGAGCCTGGTTTTGTTTGTCTAGAGGAATTTTGGTCATTCTTCTTTGCACTCTTTCTAGGATTTCTATGTCCTTAATGTAGTAGGAGCTCCAGATGCACGGCTTATTTATATACCGGGTGCCCACGAGATCACTTTCCGGCTGCCATTTTTTTATTTGTCTATCAATATCAACGAAACTTGGTAGGGTTGATATTCTAATCAAACGCCATTTTTATGTATTTATGACAAGTTTTCCT